ATGGAATGCGTGACTACGATATCTTGTCTAACATTGGTACATCGGAGAAGCCAAAATGGCGACGTAAGATTTTTTCCGAGTGTGATGCTGACGCAGCGATTGCGAGAATGTTTTGTCAACGGAGAATGTTGGATTTGTATCGTGGGGAATTAAGCTCATTAAACTCGATGGCGCCTACCACGACGTCCCGAACATTTTGCGAAGACGTTCAATTAGTTTGATGCATGAGCAGTATAAGAGAGATTTCCGAATGGCCTGTCCAATTCAACATTTTACATACTTGCATCAATTCTAACGCATGCTGAAATGGTATCTTGGTCTGCAATCGACTACGCTACTGGTTTCCTTCTCAATGACAACTTCGAGCTGTCGGAACGCATAGTTCGAAATATTCTCCCACGTCAGTTCCAGGATCTGTCGCGCAAAATGGCGATACTCAAAGTCTGGTTAAAGTACGGCACGATTGGCCAGTTTGAGAGTATCGGCGATGAAAGTGAAAATGCTTGTGCGCGTCATTTGATTTAGTTCGGACTTTCGGAACCAACCAAGAATGCAGCGAAGCTGGGCAAGGTGATCTACAAATACTGCCATGATTTTCATATCCTATCAGGCACATCAACCATCAGCTACAAGAAGCGGGTGCAGATACTACTTGTCTGCAAACAGTGCGGATTGTCATGAAAAATTGGTGCTTTCCATAGTACATCGTCTACGTGTACTCAATCAACAAAAAGCATTGCATAACTGTTCAACGAGGTGAAAGACCGCTGCGTGCGAAATGTAACATCTAAAGCTCTAGTCGTCATCGATTTCAAGATGAAAGCAGAACCGATTTACTACCGTGAAAAAACAGTAGACCATTCTGGTAAAAGGTGCATGCACAGAGCTATGGTGTGATCTGGGCCACGAAGTCTCCATTAGAAGATGCAGTCGAGTATAAGATATACTACGACCATATATCGAACTGCGGCAACAAGCAAGATAACGAAGCTGTTGTGGCACGTTTTGAGGCTTTTGGCATCTCGATGAAGCGAACCTTACCATCAATTTCAATAATCTCCATTCAGGCCGACAATGCTAGCTGCTATCAGGGCCCTTTGGTCGCAGTCATGTTACCTGTGATTGGAGCAGCTCATGGAATTCGTGTAGCTCGATACATCCGTACGGACACACAAGATGGCAATTCTATGCTGGATTCACACTTTGCGAGAGCGATGAAAAAAGTAAGGGCATACGTCCAACACGAATATAACTGCGTCACACCAAGTCAGCTTGTTCCAGCACTCAATGCAAATTGTGGAATAAATGATTGTGTTGCTGAGTTGATCGAGTATGACCGCAAAGCATCACTTGAATTGGGCATTACAGCTCAGGAGCTTGTGAGAGCTTTGGATCGATTTGTTCACGGATAAACTTAAGCGATTTACAACTTTTCTAGGAGCACGAATTGGGGAGCGAACGTGCGTACATGTAAAAGCTTTGATTATCAGCGAATATCATCGTTCTAGGCCCTTACATTCTCATACACTGGCATTGGTGATGATGTACAAGTTCACTTCAGTTTCGGATCTTGTTCTGAACGAAGCAGAGGATGAAGTGGTATCGATAATAAGCCAGTGGTTGAGTTTAACGAAATGGATATGAATGATTTATACCCGTATGACGGCAGCTCTGAAAGTGAAGAAGAAGGTGGTAGTGCTGATGAAGCGACCGACGAACACCACGAACACGACTCAACCCCTTGCGCTGTCATTGGATGATATTGGCATAATGACAGGCGCTCACATTGTGAAGTCAACTCAAGAGTCCAAGAAGGGCTAGAAAGTGGAAGCGTTCAGATTTAGCAGCATGCAAAGCCAATGCACAAAGCAATTTATTATCCGAGCGTGACATTCCTTCGTATACAAAGCGCTCGCCCATTTCCGAATAACGCTGGGGCCATCGCGGTTGTTGAGACAGCTAGCTTTCCCCACGATATGTGCGACAAGAATTTATCTATTCCTGATATAACCGATATTCCGTTGGTGAAAGAAGGCTGGGAAAGACGTCCTCTCTGTGGGGGAAAATGTACAGTGCTCGATATATCAAGCAATACGAGGAAGAAGTTGCAGAACTGTTTAGTCAAGGTGAAGAGAACACGCTCTCACAAATTAGGGCCAGCTCGCTTGCTTGAAGTGTTGGTACAAAAGCAAAAGGATTCATCCGTCAAGTAAAAACTCAAGCAAAAACGCCGACAAAGACAAAACATTCAACCGAAGAATAGTTTGTACATCATTCAAAATGTTGACAAATATGTCGTCTGACAATGTAGTTTTTTTTCTTTCTTCGGCCCACACGGCGCATTAGAGAGCAGGTCGCCATCCAAATCAG